AGGTCTTCTAAGACCATTGGAAAATAATCCCCCCCCCCCCGTATGGATTCCGGGGCCCTATTATAGAGAAAACAAGAACAGACCCACTGCCTACCCAAAAGCATGTCGTAAAAGTCGACTAATTAGGAGCTTCCATCGAAGTCGAAGTGAATTTGCATGAGAGGCAAGGAACAAATGAATCAAATCTGTCAAGCAAATGCGCACGCAACACTCAGGTTCTGGAACGGGACTGCAGTCCAGAAGTGGACGACCTACTTTAACTTTTCGCCGGAGTTTATAGCTGGTGAACGTGAAGAAGAAGAAGAAGAAGATGAAGAAGAACATATTGATTGAAGTTACGAAGCAGCAGCGAAAATAATTGTATGGTTGGCGGTCGCCACAACATGAGGGCCACTGATCTACTTAGATGGCTCGGCTTTGGGCGGCAGAAGAAGTGCATCGGAGTTTATTGCAAAAATATACGGACATCTTTTAGTGCAACAAAACCTGGCATATGCTACCGCCACATCTATTTTGAGAATGGAGGTGGAGGCAGCCACTGCAACCTTCCGTTGGCCCGAGAACACGTGTACACACATGTCGTAATTGTAACTGACTCACAGAGCATGTTAAGAAAAGTGAAGACAGGTATGCCCCGTACAGAATGGTAAGTATCACTTCGGAGCTCTAGGTTGAATAGAGCCCTGTGTATAGTCATGGTAATGCCAGCGTTTTGAGAAACGAAAAGGTAGATAGACAGACTGGCTGACTCTGCAACGTCCTGTAAAGGATACGCAACTAACTTTACTGGAGTCATAGGAAATGGAACTCTGCGCCTGCTGCTAAAGACTGGGACGGAGTGCTTATAGGAATGTCTCCAGTGCTGTAGTAACGATTCTTGATTCGACATTCAACGTTCCTCTGCCAGGAAGACACATTTTGTATCTTTTTTTGTGTGTGTGTGCGTGTTACTTTTATAAATATTTCCTTCGTTTTTGTGTTCGTTACTTTTAGAAATATTTACTTCGTTTTTCAGCAATATTTCGGCGTTAAGAATTTATAGTTAGGAAACCTTGACATTGTGTAAATAATGGCAGGTGAGTGTCGGAAGTTGGTTTCTATTGTGTGTTTGTTTGTCTTTCTCTGGTACTGTTTGTGGCTTTTGTTTCACGGACTTTTTTGTCCTCGAAGGTTTACTACGCTATTTTATGGATTTCACATGCACACTATATAGGTTGCAGCTTTAATGTAATCTTATCTAGGCCAGTGTAGGATCTTGTCTAATCTTCCAAGGAGTAAGATCTGAGCGAATCCTCTAGTCTCGCTCTAGTAACTTAACTAACTTAGTGACCACTTCAGTTTCACTGTAGTACACTGTAGCAGTCGTTGAGTAAAGATTGTAACACCCCCCACACACACATTTTCTATTCTAGATACCAGAATACAAATGTCCAGGTTTCGATTTACTCAGTGAGAGAACTTATATTTATATGGTTACGTGATTTTACTGTGCTAATAAATGGCCATCCCCTTTATGAGTGTATGCTGATGCACATAAGCCGCGCCCCCTCAATAATGATAAGGATGAGGAAGAAGATGATAATAGTAATACATCACATTATAATAATTTTGTTTATGCATTGCAGACATGATAAGGAGAACTCACCAGGGACTCAGAAATAGTTTCTTTTATAAGAAATTCCGGCTCTTCTTGCAATACCGGACGAGGGCTGGACGACTTAGTTCAGTTTAGTAAGAGTTCTCTCCCTTGGCCACACTCGAAACAGTGAGCGGAGAAGTCACGAAACAAATGACAAACTTACCTATCATCATACGGTTGCGTATAAGGTTGCGTACGGTTGGGTTTAGGGTTGCGTAGTCATCATGCGGTTGCGTGTACGCTTGCGTAGTCATCATATGGTTGCGCAAAGGGTTGCGTTGCGTAGTCATCATACAGTTGCGTGTAGGGCTGCGTAGGGTTTGGGTTAGGGGTTAGGGGTAGGGATAGGGGTAGGGTTAGATGTGACAATTTTGACGTAGGAGTTCCAAATACTGGCTGACAATCTGATGTTTGTGGGAGTGGCGCCACTGAAAATCTGCCAAATATGACGGCAATAGCACGCGGCTGGTGCCCAATCGGTGGCGAATTGTTCGTAGCACCCACAGTCCGTCGACTGTTTGGGTGTGTATGTGACTGTGCGCAATTATAGCGAACTCCTGCGTCAAAATTGTCACATCTAATGCTAAACCTAACCCCAACCCTACCCCTAACCCTACCCCTAACCCTACCCCTAACTCTACCCCTAACCCTACCCCTAACCGTAACCCTAACGTTACCCCTAACCCTAACCCTAATCCTGCCGCTAACCTTAACCCTACCCCTAACCACGCGAATTTATCGGTCATTAAAGCATACAGATCGGCAAAAAGCAACACCAAAAAAACCCCAGATTTCCCCTCAACGTCAAAAAAAAAATACCCCAGATCTGGGGGACACAACCAAGCATTGGCAGCCCTGATATCGACCTCACTGTCTTCTTTGTTTCGTGACTTTTCCGCTCACTGTTTCCAGTGCGGCCAAGGGAGAGAACTCTTACTAAACTGAACTAAGTCGTCCAGCCCTCGTCCGGTATTGCAAGAAGAGCCGAAATTCCTCTTAGTTTACCTAGGGCTGGTGCAACCGTTGTGGGTGCCCAACTCATTACTACTAGTTAAAACATTTTTTTAAGGTTGAATGGGATGTGTAGGATTTTTCTTGTTGGTCTGCCCTCCAGAATGCGATTTTAAAATTTAAGGATGCAATGGTAAACCTTTAGGTAGCATCCCAGAAGTGACAAACTGATTGATTGATCGACATAAAAAATATGTAATTCACCAAAAGTGTTAATTTAGAGAAGAAATAACTCAAATTCTATCACAGAAAAAGCTTGTAATTTCTGAAAATAGCCGAAGAGTTGTTAAAATATCCCTGTATTTGAAAACAGTTTGCTGAATAAGCAGATCAGATTATACTCTTGGAACACATTAGATCATTCAGCATATCTGAAAATTCTTGATAAGCGGATACCGCCTAACTATACTTTTTTCTTTTTTCAACATAGAAGAAAAATTGCCAGGAATAAACATACTCTTCACAACAAAAATTCACCACGTCCGAGATCGCTTTAGTCGGTCTATACTGTATTGCCATTGTTGTTTCTCGTAATCATCAGTCATATCACTACACCATGTTTAGGCCGATTGACTGCATAAGTAAAAAAAAAAAAAACATCCAAATGTATTATTAGCTTCAATTTAGAATTTTTTGGAACACTTTTTACAACCATTCTCCAACGCTAGCATTTATTAGATATTAGATATTGTGTTAAACAATCCAGTCATAAAACAAAAATGTATAGTGGCTAAATATTGGTCTAGCCAATAAAATAGCTGTGTTGTTGGTTCTGTCTGTCTGGTAAACATGTACTATAAACTAATAGTCCCTGGTAGAGAATTAGTGCATAAAGCATACTGGAATGATATTACTCAATCCATGCTTGTATAGTGACAGTTTCAGAAATGTTGTATATATAGATCTGATTAAATATTTTTCATTGACTACAGTTGTTGACAATTATGTAAACAAATTCCTTTGAAGTCGGAGTGCATCTGCCTGAGAGGCAAGGAACCAACAGTCTGCACACAAATGTTTCAGATCTGTCAAACGGATGCACACAGAACACTCAGGTTCTAGAACAGGACTGCAGTCCAGAAGTGGACGGACAACCAGAACTTTCCATTAGAGTTTTACAGCTGGTGAATGCAAAAAAAAAAAATGTTAACAAATGACATTACACCCTTGACAATCCCCATGTGCGTTCTGGATTTGTAGGGAAAAACAAGAAAAGAAACACCCCCCCCCCCACCTCCCCAACAAGCATGTCATAAGAGTCAACTAATTGGGGGCTTCCTTCGAAGTCAGAGTGCATCTGCCAGAGAGGCAAGGAACCAACAATTTGCATGCAGATGTCAGATCTGTAAAGCATATGTGCATGCAACGCTCAGGTTCTGGAACAAGCTGAATTCCAGAGGTGAGTGAACAACCAGAACTTTCCACCTGAATTTACAGCTGGTGAACATGAAGAAGAAGATACTTATGACAGAAGCTTCACAGTGGATTGTTACTAGGAGCAACAGCAAATGATTGGTTCCATGGCTCTGGAATGTGTAAATGATCTCATCTTTAAAAGAAAACAGACAGAAGGAATGAATCCTGTTCCAGTTTGTTGATGTAGTTAAATATAGCCTATGAGTTCTTGATAGTTTTATGAATAGTTCTGTTGATTATTACTTTTCATGTATATTACAGTTATTATGATAGTGGATTTGTACATCTTCTGATGTGTTTATTTCTGTTACATGTCACTGGTTTATTTAAACTGGACAATATTCTTTTGCTATGTCACATTGTTATAGTTTCATTGCCCAACAGGGGCAGGATGAGTTTGTTTTGTCAGTACATCAGAACTGGCTGCACAACTTCAAATCTTCTTCTTCACCTTCTCTTTTACTATTTCAGATTATGAGGAATATATAATATTCTACTTCTTGCTCTTTTGCTCACTTCAGCCGTAGATGCATCATAATGTTGAAGATTCTTTGATGTTATCTTTCCATTTTATGTTTAGTCTACCTTGTGCTGAAAGTCTCTCTCCTCTCTTGGTGTGAGATTTGAGTGATACTTGTCTTTTAATGTTCCTGAAATATATCACTTGCCTCTTTCCTAAAGTATATGTTGTCATTTTTTTTATCCCAGTCTGTGCAAAACCTCTGCTTTTGATTGTTTTTATTTCATATTATAATATTTCACAATTCTCATTATCCTTAGAAAGATCACAATTTATGTTTAACTGACAGAATAACATGTCTCTTGTTTAATTATCTTCTCTTCTGGTTTGAGATTTGCAGCTGTCACTCACTTCAGTTGAATGAGAACTAGAGAAGAGGAGCATGAAGTTGAAAGCTAGAGGAGGGTAGGAAGAATGAGTTGGTTCAAGCGTGGAAGTGAACGGAGATCTCCAGAATCTGCTGATCAAGGCCAGAGTGACACAGATCCAAACACTTGCTTGGAGGTCTTTCAGAATCACTGGAAACAGGTAGGGGCTGGCAGATAACTTTGTGGTTCACTGATAAACAGGGAGGGGCTGGCAGGTAAATTTGTGTTTCACTGGAAACAGGTAGGGGCTGGCAGGTAACTTTGTGGTTCACTGGAAACAGGTAGGGGCTAGCAGGTAACTTTGTGGTTCACTGATAAACAGATAGGGGTTGGCAGATAACTTTGTGGTTCACTGGAAACAGGTAGTGGCTGGCAAGTAACAATGTGGTTCACTAGAAAGAGGTAGGAGCTGGCAGGCAACTTTGTGGTTCACTGATAAACAGATAGTGGCTGGCAGATAACTTTGTGGTTCACTGGAAACAGGTAGGGGCTGGCAAGTAACAATGTGGTTCACTAGAAAGAGGTAAGGGCTGGCAGGTAACTTTGTGGCTCACTGGAAACAGGAAGGGGCTGGCAAGTAAATTTGTGGTTCACTAGAAATAGGTAGGAGCTGGCAAGTAAATTTGTGGTTCACTGGAAACAGGTAGGAGCTGGCAAGTAAATTTGTGGTTCACTGGAAACAGGTAGGAAGCTGGCAAGTAACTGTATGGTTCACTAGAAAGAGGTAGGGGCTGGCAGGTAACTTTGTGGCTCATTGGAAACAGGTAGGGGCTGACAGGTAACTTTGGAAGCAGTGACGAGTTCAAAGTCCAGGAGTGGATGAACTTCTTCTTCTTAGTGTTCACAGGATGTAAACTCTGGTGGAAAGTTCTGGATGTTTTTCCTGTTCTGGAATTTAGTCTTGTTCCAGAACTTGAATTTTGTGTGCTCATCCATTTTACAGATCTGGCTTGCTTGTAGATAGACTGTTGGTTCCTCTCCCCTCAGGCAGATGTACAACTACTTTGGAGGAATAAACCCCAATTAATTGCCTTTTATAACATGCTTGTGAGGGAGGCAGTAGGCTTAGTCCCCCCCCCCCCCCTTTAAAAATAATGAAGGCCTGGAACCCACTCGTGGAAGTGGATGAACAACCAGAACTTTCTGTGGGAGTTTACGACTGGAGAACACAAAAAAGAGCTGAAAGACAAAAATAGAATTTACCGAGTGTCATGTGAATGATTTGTTTCTGCTTTTCCTTTGTTCCCCTGCTACAGGCATGGACGGTTATTGCCTGTCAGGACAAGAAGACCACCACCAACACTGGGCAGGCAACAGGAGATGGTGTGGAGACTGTCCTGAAGAACCTGGAACAGATGGTCACACTGCTGGCCAATGAGGACGATGATGGAGGTCTTCCAGGTAGAATGTGCAACTGTAGTCCACCAGTTGGTTGGTTGGCTGGCTGGTTGGTTGTTTTGCTGGTTGATTGGTTATTTGAATGGCTGGCTAGCTGGATGGATGGTTGAGTGGCTAGCTGGATGTTTAGCTGGCTGATTGGTTGTTTAGATATGTTGTTTTGCAGGTTGGTTGGTTGTTTGAATGGCTGGCTAGCTGGCTGGATGGTTGATTGAGTGGCTAGCTGGATGTTTGACTGACTGGCTGGTTGACTGACTCACTTGTTGATTGGCTGGTTGGTTGACTGGCTAGTTAGTTGATTGGTTGGTTGTTTGAATGGCTGGCTAGCTGGCTGGATGGTTGATTGAATGGCTAGCTGGATGTTTGACTGACTGGCTGGTTGACTGACTCACTTGTTGATTGGCTGGTTGGTTGACTGGCTGGCAAGTTGATTGACTGGCTGGCTGATTGGTTGGTTGACTGGCTGGCTGATTGGTTGTGAATCCTCTGGTACACCCTCAGTATGAACTCTTTCGGTCAGCTCAACTGCCGTTTATGTTGTTTGAGCCCTGAAAAGAGTGAGGATGTTGTAGCGACCAATATTTCAGTCAGCTGTCAAACTATGTATTGCAGAAGTCATAATTAGAAATGAAGCTGGGCTATGAAACCACTCCACTCATGTTTTGTTCTAATACAAAGTAAAGAACCTTTTTATGCCTGTTGGCGCATTTGGCATGTAATGCTAGACCTATATTTTTATGAGCCAATAGCCACCAAGTTGTGATGTGGTCAAAATGTCATGCCAGCAACCTTTACATTCCAGGACATTACATGGTATCCATTTTAGGTTTGGTCATCCTGGGAGCCAAGGTCAGTTTTTGAAAAAAAAATAAGTATGTCTCAGTGCTGATTTAAACCCTTGACCTTTGAGCCGCCAGACAAGGTTTGGCCTCTAAATTACTGCGGCTGACATTTTATGTTATTAGTCTCTTTAAAATGTCTCACCTCCATGCAGTGTCTTCCTCATCTGCTGATCACCCATGTCAGCTGGTTGTACTCTCATCTCTGATATCTGAATCCCATCCTGCACTGTGTTTGGTCTGATCCCTGATATCTCTGTGCATGTTGACAGGTCCCATCCTGTGTTACGTTTCATCTTGTCCTTGATATCTGTGTGCCTGTTGACAGGTCCCATCCTGTGTTATGTTTGATTTCATCTCTGATATCTCTGTGCATGCTAACAGGTTGTATCCTGTGTTATGTTTCATCTTGTCCCTGATATCTGTGTGCCTGTTGACAGGTCCCATCCTGTGTTATGTTTGATCTTGTCCCTGATATCTGTGTGCCTGTTGACAGGTCTCATCCTGTGTTATGTTTGATCTTGTCCCTGATATCTCTGTGCCTGTTGACAGGTACCATCCTGTGTTATGTTTGATCTTGTTCCTGATATCTCTGTGCCTGTTGACAGGTCCCATCCTGTGTTGTTTGATCTTATCCCTGATATCTCTGTGCCTGTTGACAGGTCCTATCCTGTGTTATGTTTGATCTTGTCCCTGATATCTGTGTGCCTGTTGACAGGTCCCATCCTGTGTTATGTTTGATCTTGTCCCTGATATCTGTGTGTCTGTTGACAGGTCCTATCCTGTGTTATGTTTGATCTTGTCCCTGATATCTGTGTGCCTGTTGACAGGTCCCATCCTGTGTTATGTTTGATCTTGTCCCTGATATCTGTGTGCCTGTTGACAGGTCCTATCCTGTGTTATGTTTGATCTTGTCCCTGATATCTGTGTGCCTGTTGACAGGTCCCATCCTGTGTTATGTTTGATCTTGTCCCTGATATCTGTGTGTCTGTTGACAGGTCCTATCCTGTGTTATGTTTGATCTTGTCCCTGATATCTGTGTGCATGTTGACAGGTCCTATCCTGTGTTATGTTTGATCTTATCCCTGATATCTCTGTGCCTGTTGACAGGTCCCATCCTGTGTTATGTTTGATCTTGTCCCTCATCTCTGATCAGGTCCCTCTGTTTGCTTATCCCTAAACATGTGTTGTTGACATCCCCTGTGTTATGTTTGATCTTATCCCTGATATCTCTGTGCCTGTTGACAGGTCCCATCCTGTGTTATGTTTGATCTTGTCCCTGATATCTATGTGCCTGTTGTCAGGTCCCATCCTGTGTTATGTTTGATCTTATCCCTGATATCTGTGTGCCTGTTGACAGGTTCCATCCTGTGTTATGTTTGATCTTATCCCTGATATCTCTGCCTGTTGACAGGTCCCATCCTGTGTTATGTTTCATCTTGTCCTGATATCTGTGTGCCTGTTGACAGGTTGTATCCTGTGTTATGTTTGATCTTATCCCTGATATCTGTGTGCATGTTGACAGGTCCCATCCTGTGTTATGTTTGATCTTATCCCTGATATCTGTGTGCCTGTTGACATGTCCCATCCTGTGTTATGTTTGATCTTATCCCTGATATTTCTGTGCCTGTTGGCAGGTCCCATCCTGTGTTATGTTTGATCTTATCCCTGATATCTCTGTGCCTGTTGACAGGTTGTATCCTGTGTTATGTTTGATCTTATCCCTGATATCTGTGTGCCTGTTGACAGGTTGTATCCTGTGTAATGTTTGATCTTGTCCCTGATATCTGTGTGCATGTTCACAGGTCCTATCCTGCGTTATGTTTGATCTTGTCCCTGATATCTGTGTGCATGTTGACAGGTCCCATCCTGCGCTATGTCTTGGAGTCTGAGCTGCTGGAGAAAGTCTGCTCCTGGTGCACCATCAATGTCCTAGCTCATGACAAGTTGCGGATGCAGCAGCTGAAGTTGTTTGAGCAGATCATCAGTCAGTCAAAGCAGCTGCTCCTCATTCATAGACCTGTGATCAAACCTTTGCTGAGACTACTGATTGATGTCGCTGACTCGCCAGGTGAGAGGCCACCCTTCCCCCTTTTCCTGACAAACACATGGGGGGTACTACATGGAACTGGCAGTCCAGTCATAGATATATGACGGTACTACCTTGAGCAACCAGTCATAAACATATGGGGGTACAAAGTGGGATCGCCAGTCAAAGATAAATAGGGGGTAATACCTGGAGCCGCAAATCATAGACATATAGGGGTACTACCTCCAGCCGCCAGTTCGTAAACATATAAGAGTACAACCTAGAGCCACCAAACATAAACATATGAGGACCCAACCTGGAGCCACCAGACATAAACATATAGGGACCCAACCTGGAGCCACGAGATATGAACATATAGGGACAACGCAACCTAGAGCCACCAAACATAAGCATATGGGGACACAACATGGAGCCACTAGACATAAACATATAAGGACACAACCTGGAGCCACCAGACATAAACTTAAAGGGACAACATATGGGAACACAACATAGAGCTACCAGACATAAACATATGAGGACACAACTTGGAGCCACAAGACATAAACATATGGGAACACAACATAGATCCACCAGACATAAACATATGGGGACATATCCTGGATCCACCAGACATAAACATATGGGGACATAACCTGGAGCCACCAGATAAAAACATGGGGACTTAACGTGGAGCCACCAGACTTAGGCATATACCTCTTGTATAACCCCTGTGTAGACTATAGGTATACAGAGCGCTTATTTAAATTAGTCCATATAATATCTATGTTTCTGCACTGATACTTCTTCGTATCTGCAAACCAACCAAGTATGTAGGTCTAGGGTGCCTACACTAGTATGCCGCTGGATCTCTCCTTGATGGATGTTCTGCTAATACTTGCAGTCATGCATCATACAGCACCAGCAAATACAGTTGTGACTATCCTGACGAGTCAACAATAATGACTTGTGACAGGCCACATAAACTTTAATGTCATTCACATAACACATCACAAGATGAGTATGGTTAACATATGTACGATAATAAGTCTCTATTATCTGCACGAACGATCTTAACGATTACAACCTTCACTCAATGGAGTCCTGTCATTAGAAACTAAAACAGACATCAAACCGTCTCCCGCAAACTGCGGTAAAGCACAAACCTCATTAGGAGGAACGTTACTATAATATCCTCATAAAGAGAAAACAGATAACACAGCTTTTCCGCTAACCTGGGGAAAACACGTCCGACTTGGACACTAGCAAAATCTCAACTCCCAACTGACTGTCCCTCTGAATTCTATCCCCAGAATTCAATTAAGTCTTTAATAACCTTCACCTCTTCTACCCTGTTAATGCATTCCCCTGCACAACACAAATTCCTTCCCACGGTTTAAACCCCAAGTACTAACACATCCCACACCTCAATCTAGCTACTTCCAGAGAAGTTGACCAGAGCCTATTGTCCCTGATAACACCCAAACACTCTCCTCTCAGATAAATTTACCGGCACTCAGGAATTAACGACAACTTGCCACTCCCATCGCTGGTTCCCAGCAAGAAACCCATTTCATTCCGGCCTAATAAAACCGTCGCCTGGGTAATTTAAGATTCGTGGCCATGTGACCTCTACCTGTCCTCTTCCTGCTATTTGATATTTTAAGCCTTGACTAAAAAAGACTACAACAATATGGGAACACAACATGGAGCCACCAGATATAAACATATAGGGACATAACCTGGAGCCACCAGACATAAACATATGGAGACACAACCTGGAGCCACAGTCTTTGAGGGATGTAACTTTGATGGCTGTTGTGATTAGTTTGAAGCTGGTTTCGGGGACTGGTCAATCCACAAGTCAAGAAATGGACACCTCACATCCCTCTGTGTCCTTTACGGAATAGGTGGCAAGTAAAACAGCTAGTTGCCTCTTTTCACACAAAGAAACTGTTATAAATCCACAAAATAGGTAGACAAATGTTTCCAAAATGTGTATTTTAAAACAGATTTTACCAGATTGTGCAGAGTAGTAACAGAAGGTAAGGGACTGTTGTAATAGCTGGAGATGGTAGTGTGCCAAGAAATCACTGTTCAGCCATACAGCTGGTCACCTCACTTCATAAACATAT